ACTCAATTTTCATCATCATCTTCGGCATTTCCAATGTGTTTTTTGCTTGTTTGAGCCACATAATCGTTATCAAAATCACCACTGACGTCACAATCCACATTTTAGTCATCATCATCGTCGTCATCATCATGATCATCTTCGCCATCATCATCATCACAGCCAGCACAATCATCATCAACACCGGCCTTAGACATCCGCACGCATATATAGATGAATTAATTTAATTTCCTTTTCTGCTGCAGAACCATTATCATCATCATCATCATCATCATCATCATCATCATCATCATCATCATCATCATCATCATCATCATCATCATCATCATAATCTTCATCATCATCATCATAACATCATTATTATTATTGTTGTTATTAGTAGTAGTTGTTGTAGTAGTAGCAGCAGCAGTAGTAGTAGTAGCAGTAGTAGTAGTAGTAGTAGCATCACAATCAACGTCGTCATCATCGTAATTTTCGGGGCTAGTTCCAAGAGAACGGTGGCATACATTGGTGATCGTATGCGTTACCAGCAACAACTCAGCTAGCGTTTTTAACTTCTATCATCATCTTCATCACCTTTATTATTATTATTGTTATTATTATTATTATTATCATCATCATCTTTATTATTATTATTGTTTTTATTATTATTATTGTTTTTATTATTATTATTATTATTATTATTATTATTATTATTATTATTATTATTATTATTATTATCATCATCGTCATCATCGTCGTCATGAACAAAACAGCAATAACAACAAAGCCAGAGCCATAATATACCATTATAAACGCATGTACATTTAATTTCTTTCCTAGTCCTCATATCTCTGACTCTCTCTCTCTCTCTCTCTCTCTCTCTCTCTCTCTTTTTCTCTCTCTCGTTATTCATTTTCTTCTTTCTTTCTTTCTAAGTCTACCTATCTTATTCTCTCTTCTTCTACATTTTGTTCTTACGGTTTCAGTAGTTTTTTTTACATTTTCCTCATAAATCATTTTTCAATTTTCATAGCTACACTATTCGTAGCTACATTTTTTGTAGCTATGCTTTTCATAGCTCACTTCAATCTCTCTCTATTTTTATTTTTATTGCTCTCTCTCTCTCTCTTTCTTGTTCTCCATCATTTTACTTGATTCTTTATACCATCTTTCTGTCCTTCTCTTCATTTGGGCTGTTTCCTCCGGTGAGAATTCTGTATATAAATTTTCGTGTTATTTCTATTTTTGTATCTCCCTCCCTCTCTCTCTCTCTTTCTCTCTCTTTTTTTTCTCTCTCTCTCTCTTTTTTCCTTTTTTTTATTTTTTCTAAAAATACACGCACACACACATACAAATAGAAACGCAGACGCAGACACACAGAGACATACCTCTATCTAGAGCGCATGCAAACGCATTTATTGTCATTTCATCCTGTCATTATCTTCACACAACTTATGTGAATGGTAGATGTATGTTGTTCTTTCTTTCTCTCTGTCTTTTCTTTTTCTCTCTTTCTCTCTCTCTGTCTCTCTGTTTTTCTCTCTTTGTTTTTATTTCCAAATTTACAAACATTTTTTCATTCGTTCGTCCGCAAAAAAGTTGGATTTTTCCAACCAGCATATCTTCTGCTACTAACAACATCATTATCGTCGTCAGCAGTGCCACAAAATTTTCTACAAGTACTTTGAACAAATTGTCCGCCGTGACATGATTACTACTTAAAGTAGCAATTACTGAAACTACTACTGCTACTACTACTACTACTGCAGCTACTACTACTACTACTACTACTACTACTACTGCTATTACTGCAGCTACTACTACTACTGCTGCTACTACTACTACTACTTCTGCGGCTGATGCAGCTGACGGTGACGTCATATGGTTGTTTACTTAGGAGATGGACTCACGTGATCATTAATCTTGTGAAATATTAAAACGCGAAATGCGCTCCTGAAGCTCTATATTTGTCACTTTGGCGGGTTTTATTATTGTTATTGTTGTTGTTGTTGCTATTTTTATTGTTATTATTGTTATTGCTGTTCATGTTATTTTTTTTTTCGGTTTATCTTTTCCCTCCCAGTTATTAAATACACATTGTTGCATTCTTTCAAATAAACAAACACATAAACAACATATACACAATCAAATATATACAAACGTACACATACATACGTACATACATATACACGTATATACATACAAAAATACACATATACAAACACGCATATACAAAAAGATACAAAATACAAAGAGCGCATTTCATTGTATTCAGCTAATTTTTTCCTATAATGCGTTAATGAATACAATGGCCTTGATTAGGTAGGGCCCTGTTAAATGATGTCTATTACATTTAAACGTTTGTCTTTTCTTTATCTTGCAGATAAAAGCATACATACATACATACATACATACATACATACATACATACATACATACATACATACATACATACATACATACATACATACATACATACATACATACATAAACACATACATATATATATATATATTAATTAGTACAAATTCTTTTTAGTACCAAGTTTATTAATTTTATTTCTCTTTCCTTTACAATTTTCCGTCCTATTGTTCCAACTGTTTCATCATTTTTTGCACAGAATATTTGATGAATCTCCAAATGAATTGTGAATCCAACACACGCACACGCACACACGTACACATATATACACACACACACATACACGTAATAACACAATACCCGATTCATACAGAAATACGCACTGATGTTTTTAATGTTAGGTTATTAAATTGTTTTGCTCTCGTAATCAACTTGAAAAGTTTAACGACGACGACAACGATGAAGAAGCAGATTTTGTCGCTACTTCTTCTGCTGCTGCTAATAATGTTGTCACTGCCACTGCTGCTGCTGCTGCTGCTGCTGCTGATGATGATGATGAAAAAGATGACGAGGAAGAGAAAGAAGATAGTGACAAGAGCTGTCAGGGAGAGACGAAATTTCATAAGAAATTCTAACGGGACATTTCAAAACCTCCTTCAGCATAATGATCGTTTCAAACTCATCCATCATTCACACCAGGCCATTCTGTTGTTATTATTATTACTATTATTATTATTATTACTATTATTATTATTGTTATTATTATTATTGTTGTCGTTGTTGTGGTTGTTGTGGTCACCATCCTTTCATCTTTAGCATCTGTCCATCTATCATTAATCATAACTAAAGTTCATTTCGTGAACGGACGATATTGCGGAATGTTTTTTTTCTTGCATTTTTTTTCTAAAGTTCTTCCGAGTTTTTTTTTAATTTTTTTGTGTTAGTTTTTCTAAGGTCTTTTGTTTCATCCTTCAATTTTATTAGTATTTGCATGGTGTTGGGTTATTGTGATCATCTGTGGTCATCTGTCATGTTCCATTCGCCACTAATTTGAAGTTCAATTTCGGACAAAATGAAGAGATAAAATGGAAGAATAATGTTGAAGTATTTGCAGCAGCAGTAGTAGCAGCAGCAGCAGCAGCAGTAGTAGTAGCATTAGTAATGGTAGTATTTGCAGCAGCAGCAGTAGAAGTAGCAACAGCAGCAGCAGCAGTAGTAGTAGTAGTAGTAGTAGTAGATGTGGTAGTATTGTAGCAGTTCTTATTGATTTTTTGTTTCTTGTTGTAGTTACACAAAAGAACAGGAATGACTGTTGTCTATACGTCAGTTGGTACTTCAAACGCTTCAAATAAGCGTTTCTTATTGTCTTAGTTCATTTCATTACTCTCTCTCTCTCTCTCTCTTTCTTTTTCTTTTTCTCTCTCTCTTTCTTTTTTATCTTTTCATCTTTTTCATTTTTATTCTATTACATTTTCTACCCCTTTATATCGAAATTCAATCATCCAGTTATCCGGTTATAGAATATTTTTTTCACTCGTTAGAAGAACCTGGACGCTTCTTCATTATTTCGTCTCATCGTCATCGTCGTCGTCCTCACCACCTTCGTTATCACTTCATCATCTCCGTTATTAACATCATTAACATCGCGAAACCATCTTGGAAAAAAAGTTAAATTCTGTAAACACGCACTCCACACGCACACAAACAGATACTCCACACACACGCACGCACGCACAAGCAGCCCACACACACACGACATACAACCACACACACACACGCACACGCTACACAGGTTCCAGAAAACTTCCGTTTTGTGGTGCAGGCCACCTTGAGAGAATTCTACCTAAGCATTGCAGCGGAAAAGGATCAGGAGCAATCCTGGAAGAAGAGCATCTACAAAATCATCGCAAGGATGGATGACGTAGTTCCGGAATACTTCAAATCGCCTAACTGGGTGGAACAGCTGGCCGATCAGTGATGATGATGATGAAGACGACGACGACGATGATGATGGGGTGGCGATATTGTTATGATGATGATCGCGATGATGTTGTAATGATGATGACGATGGTGATGATGATGAAGATAATTTGGAAGGTGATGATGATGATGGTGGCAATTTTGTCATGATGATGATCGCGATGATGTTGTAATGATGATGATGGTGATGATGTTTGTTGACTATGATTGCAAATTGAAAATTTTGATCGGGCATAAACAAACTTAAAAAAACTCTGTAAATAAATTTGGTAGAGAATGCTTAGTAGTAATAGTGCAAGTTACACACACACACACACACACACACACACACACACACACACACACACACACACACTTTTTAAAATATTAAAATGTAAATAAATTACTGATTGTAAAACATTTAACATATGTGTGTTGTTATGTCCTTTCAAATAAGAAAAATATATTATTTTTTTTATTCCAAGTTTATATATAATGTATATAAATGTATATATATATAGATATATCATTTGATATATATCAAATATATATATATTATATATATATTAAAAATATTTGTGTGTGTTTTGTTCATGTATTTTATTATGATGATGGTGTAGATTTTATAAACATTAAAAGGCCGAAAAAATTGTATTTTTAATTGATTGTGTGTTTGTTAAATGTGTGTGTGTGTGTGTGAGAGAGAGAGAGAGAGAAAGAAAGAGAGAATGGGTATACGTGTGTATGTGTGTGTGTCTATTTATTTGTTTCATTGTAAAATGCTTTCAATTCTAATGCGCGTGCAATCATGATCATAACGAAATGAAATAATAATAATAATATAATCATAACAAATAATAAGTGGAATAATAATATTATTAATTAAATGTAAAAAAAGGGTTTTTTTTTGTTTGTTATCAGTATTTTTAAAGGACGTTAATTCTGTTTAACGGCTGTCATGTTATATTTTCTGAAAAGTGTTACAAATAAATAAATTGTGAATAATTTTGGTTGAAGTTAACCATGGCTTGTTTATTTGTCTTTAAATTAAAAATTTGACCTACATATACAGACACGCACACGCACAAACTTACACACACATACACACGCACAGACAGACACACACACACACACACACGAGAACACACAAACACGTACCCTGTATTTCCTAGCATCTACGCCAGCCAAGCGAGGCGAACTTATGTCACTGATCACGTGATAAATGTCCGCGATCGAGAAGAATGCATGTTTGTATGTTTGTATGTATCTTTGTATGTATCTGCATGTACGTATGTATGTGTGTGTGTATGTATCTATATATGTATGTATGTATGTATGTATGTATGTATGTATGTATGTATGTATGTATGTATGTATGTATGTATCTATGTATGTATGTATGTATGTATGTATGTATGTATGTATGTATGTATGTATGTATGTATGTATGTGTTGACTTGAACTGAAACAATCCTTTTTTTCAGCAAAATATGTATGTGTATATGTATGCATGTATTTATGTATGTATGTATATGTATGTATGTGTGTGTATGTGTGTGTATGTGTGTGTATGTAGCTGAATGCAAAAAAACTTTTAAAGAAGCTATCAACAACACAAGAACATGATCAATCCAACAACAATAAAAATGCCAGCTAACAAGATAAAATCGACATAAACTACAACTACTACTACTGCCTGCTACTACCACTATTACTACTACCTACTACTGCTACTACTATTTCCTGCTGCTACTACTGCTACTACTCTTAATAATAATAATAAAAAAATTAGCAATAATAACAAAGACAGCATGTCAAGAAATCACAACAACAAGAAATATGTAAGACATAATAAAGTGATTCATATTATTATTATTATATTATAAAACCACACTAATAATAATAAAATTGTTATCATCGTCATCATCGTCTTCATCATCATCATCATCATTATCATCATCCTCATCATTATCAATAATAAAACAACAACATTCAACAACCCCCAAAACAACAATAACACCAGAATCACTGAATCATAAACCTAACATCCAACGAACGGCTAGGCGACCATCTATGTAGCGACCGTTCGAGCGAGCAGACGACTGCTACCGGAAGTGACGTAATCGATCTTTTGATCACGTGACAGACGATCGTCTCGTTTCCGGTGAGATTCAAACGAGATTCAGCGAGGCGACTCCGAAGATAAAGAACGCGCTATCTGTTTCCGTTGTGCCGTTGTTCTGCAGCTACTACTACTACTGCTGCTGCTACTACAGCTGCTGCTACTACTACAGCTGCTGCTACTACTACAGCTACTGCTGCTGCTGCTGTTGCTGCTACTTCTACCACTACTTTTGTTGTTTGTTGCTACTCGCGATGATGCAGATAATGATGTTAATGTTGATTGGCTTATGATAATGTTGATAAGAAAATTTCATTATAGTTATTTTCAATTGCGAAGACAACAACAATATCAGTATCATCATTACCGCCATCATCATTATTATCATCACATCAACAACAACACATCGTCATCATCATCATTATTATCATCATCACATCAATAAAAACACATCATCGTCATCAAATCATCATTACAACAACAACAACAACAAATTTCTCTAAAACAACAACAACAAATTCCTCTGCAACAACTACTACTCCATCCTCATACGAAACACGACTACAATAACGACATCTCATAGTGTGGAGATTAACTTTTAAACCTTCCATTATTCCCGGCGCACTTAAAACAACAACAGCAACAACAACAACAACATCAGCAGCAACAACAACAACAACAACTTCTACAACAACAATAATAATAGCAACAACAACAACAATAATAATAGCAACAAAATCAGCAACAACAACTACTACAACAGCAACACTAATAACAATAATAATAATTGCAACAACAACAATAATAACACCAACAACAACAAAATATCTCTACTCTTGTATTCTTCTCAACGAATGCTGACATGAGGTTTTATTAATATAGGTCGTTTGAACAAATTGCGATCTAAAGCTATTAAGATTATTCAAAACACCACTACTACCACTACTTCTACTGTTGCTACTACTACTACCACTTCTACTACTTCTACTACTGCTGCGGCTGCTGCTGCTGCTGCTGCTACAACCACAAGTACTACAACCGCAATAATACAAGTGGAGATGACCGAACGATATTATCAAATACATCAATTGTAATGTTAATGAAAAATATTTCAAGAACGTCAACAACAACAACAACAACAACAGCAACATCAACAACAACATCAACAACAACATCAACAACAACAACATCGGCATCATCGATTACCGAAAGAGCAAGATCTCATCTCGACGAACATGATTCTTATGAAATTGCTAGGCGGAAAGACAACGTATGTTTGTCTGTTTGTATGCTTGTTTGTGTGTATGTATGTGTGTTTGTTTGTATGTGTGTGGATGTATGTATGTATGTATGTATGTGTGTGTGTGTGTGTGTGTGTGTGTGTGTGTGTTCAAAATTGCAACCATAATCGTACTGCTACTACTACTTTTTTACTACTAACAATGAAACAACGACGAACGTTACTATAATACTGCCACACTACTACTACTGCTGCTACTGCTGCTGCTACATGCTACTACTACTGCTGCTACTACTACTGTTGCTACTGTTGCTGCTACTACTACTACCACTGCTACTGCTACTATTACTACTACTAATAATATATATATTAAAAATAATACAGAATATAGCAGTGAATACAATAAGAATACTAATCAAGACCAGCATCACCAACCAAATGCAATTGCCATCTTAGCCAGCTGACGCAAGAATTTGAATTTTATGTGGGTCAAACTCTCGCGGGGATAATTAGGTCACAGTGAGGTCAAATAAAAGAGTTCAAGGTCAAATAAATAGTTCGGGGTCAAAACTGGCTGTAAAAGGTATCTTGGGAGCTATAAATAAATCGAAAGATCTGAGTGTTGAAGATTAAGTAGGAAGGTTTGTATGTAATGTTAACGTCATCGTCGTCGTCATCACCATCATCATCATCAGTATCAGCAGTGGCAGCAGCAGTAGCATTCTTTTTATCATCATCATCATCATTACATCTTTGTGATCATCATTTTTTAAAGTTTATTTTAAGCGCTGTCCACAGCCATCAATATAATAACATAATATTATACAATATTTAATGTACCATCATCATCATCATCATCATCGTCGTCGTCATCCTCGTATCATTAATCACAATTCGTTACACACGCGTTCACTCGAGCCGAACCGATTTAAAAAAAATAATAAGAATAATAATAAAAAGGAGCAAATGCAATAGTACCAATAATAATAATAACAACAACAACAATAACAACAACAAAACTAACGATTAAAAGTGAACGAGAAAAATTATAAAATCAATGACTCGTGATGGAGTAAGATGGTTTCAGCTGATAGCAACAACAAATTCACATACACACGTTGTTGTTGTTGTAGCACAAACAGTGGTGGTAGTAAGTGTAGTACCAGTAGCAGCAGCAACAGCAGTAGTAGTAATAAAGTAGCAGTAGTGGAAGCTGTAGTAGCTTTCTTAGCTGTTATTTTTTTGGCGTTGTCATAACAGTAACTTTATTTTGCCAACTAAAACAATAAAAGCAGAAACTCAAACAACATTAGCAACAACATAAAAAGCATCAACAACAACAACAACAGCAACCTCAACAACAACATCAACGTCATCAACAACAACACCAACAACTACAATATCAGCAACAACATCATCAAAAACAACAACATCAACATCTGAAGAAACGCCGTTATTCTGTAGTCGATATGCTTGGATGGTTTGGAGATTGCTAGTCACCAGACAGGTATAAATTATTGTATTATCGCTATACGCCGCTCCTCTTTCTATGTTTTGCCCAGTTTTTTGTATCTATGTTTTTCTGTATTATTTTGAATCTGTAGTAAATTTGTTTCCTTGTATCTATGGTTTTATTTCTATCATTCTTGCTGCTTTTAACTACTGTATTATCACTAGTTTACTGTTTCCCTATCTATGTTTTTGCCCGGTTTGTTGTATCTATGTTTTCGTAGTGTTATGTATCTATGTTTTTGAAGTTCAACTCGATTATCGCCTCTTCACTGTTTTTCTCTGTTTTGATTTGTTCCATGTGTATGTCTTTTTGTATCATTTCGTAATTCACTGCTGTTTATTTAATACGACCACACACACACGCACACACATACTCACATCAACACACACACACACACATATATATATATATATATATATATATGTGTGTGTGTGTGTGTGTGTGTGTGTGTGTGTGTGTGTGTGTATGTGTGTGTGTAAAAAACTGACACTTAATTAGTTTTCCGTTATTTGGAGAAGGTAGAGGAAAAAATGTGATTCTGTTTCGTTTCGTTTTGTTTCGAAAATGAATGAATTTTCATTTGTTCGTTAGTTCGTTCGTTCGTTTGTTCGTTTGTTAGTTCGTTCGTTTTTTCGTTCGTTAATTCCTTATGAACATAAATCCAAAAGAAAGTATGAAATCGTTTCAATTAACTTTTAATCAGTTTTATCGCGACCTCTCCTACTCAATTCAACGGCGCTTTCCCATGTAACTTTTAAAATTTACATCCATCGCTCGTAAGAATTATATAAATAAATAATAATAATTATAAATAATAATAATTATTATAAAAGTTTTAATATTATTATTATTATTAATAAACACATATATAGTAAAACAGACAAACAAACAGGTATGAACAGTCAACAGATAGACATATCAGCAGACAAACATACAAACAAACACGCAGACAGACTATAAAACAAACATGCATACAGACGTACATGCAATGAGGCAAACAGACAGACATAGTAATATACATACATATAAATACAGACAAAGAAAGAGATAAAGATAGAGAGAGAGAGAGAGAGAGAGAGAGAGAGAGAGAGAGAGAGAGAGAGAGAGAGAGAGAGAAGAATAGGAGCTTGTATAATTGAAGTTTTATCTATCATCTCCTATCAGCAGCAGCAACCGACTACTTCAACGTGCGCGTTTTCGTAATTTGAGAGCTGTTGTTGCCGTTTCGTTCGTTCATTCATTCGTTCATTCATTTGTTCATTCATTCGTTCATTCATTCCTCTATTTATTCAATCACTCATTCGTTCATTCATTTACTCATTCATTTATTCAATTTTTCATTTTGTTGTTGTTTATTATATATTCATTCCTCCATTTATTCTTTTGAGTATTCTTTTTGTTATTTTTTTCTCCAATCATTCATTCGTTCGTTCGTTCGTTCGTTCGTTCATTCATCCATTCACGTGGTCACTTATTCATCCATTATTTGATAACTCTTCAAGACATTTTTTCATTCATCCATCCATTCATCCATCCATCTCTCCGTTAATTTAATGTCACTGTTTGTTAGCAATGCATTTTTCAACACGTAAACTACCAAATAAATATAAATACACCTCCAAGCAAACAAAAAAAATAAAATAAACAAAAACACGCCGGTGTGCCATTAAGGCGCCATTTTTATGACGTCAGAAATTAGTTTGCGTCACGTGACTGCTCGCCGGAAGTGACGTGTGTGGTTGGCGAAGCGAGAACCGGAAGTGTCGGTGCAATATAAGATTGAGGAATGCTGTTGTTGTGAATGTTGTTGTTGTTGTAGATGTTGTTGTTGTTGTTGTGGATGTTGTTTTTGTTGTTGTTGTTGTTGTTGTTGTTTGATATTTCTCCATAGCGTATTTGCTCTTTTAAATGAAACTTTAACGTTTCAATTTGTTGTTGTTGTGTATTGATGTTTTTTTTTTTCATGTTCTTGATGTCGTTGTTCTATTGCCAATAGATGAAAATCTTCTTCTGTTGTTGAGTCATTTTCTTTCAGAGTTGGTTCATCTTGTTGTTGTTATTTTCTTATGTGTAGAATGTGTGGAAACATCAATACCAATCTGAACAACATCAACATAAACAATAACATTAACAACAAAAACAACAACAATAACAACAACAGCAAAAACAATAACACGATTTTATAATATCACAATTTCAGCAGCCTAATGCTATACATTAAATCTACATCATATATATATATATATATATATATATATATATATATATATATATATATATGGATATATATCAGCGATGTACGTATATATAATGGATTTATTTCCACCATTGGATTTTTTCACTAATCAAACAAAAACGTCTTGGCCAATCAGCGCCCGAGATTTCACTTACGTCACTTTCTTAAGATTTTCTTGACTCCTCCCACCCAAGAAATCGAGCATTTCTGTTTGCTGGCAGTCTTGGTGACGATGATTATGTTAATGATTAAGATATTTTTGCTAATGACACAAATATATATATATATATATATATTTATCTATATATCCATACATCTGGTTATCTATGTATATATATATATATATATATATAGAGAGAGAGAGAGAGAGAAAGAGAGACAGATGGTATGTACATATGTCAGTTCATGAAAACCTAACGAGTGCATTGTAAGAAATTCTTGGTTTGACAAGCTATGGAATAAATTAGTATTTATTGGAAGAAAAATCCAAATATGTAACTCCACAACATTTTGAAAAACACACTTCCAAGACGAATAAAAAGATTTTGTCTATAATTAAATTAATTAATTTCAGGTAAACACACCTAAAATTATCGTCAAGAAAAAGAGGTCGTCCAAAAAAGGCTTGGACTGACAACATCAAAGAAAGACTTCAAAATAAATAACACAAACATCGCTGAAGCTGGGAAAATGACAAAAGATAGAAAAAGAGGAAGGCTCTTTGTGACTAGCTATTGCCGCCCTGGGCTGGCAGACAGATGGTGCTGCTGCTGCTACTGCTGCTGCTGCTACTGCTGCTGCTGCTGCTGATGATGATAATGATGATGATGAAACACACCTATAGTTTAAAAAACTCGATCGATCAAAAATTGTTTTTTTTCCTATTTTGTATGATATTGTTTTAGTGACCACTCAAATTTAGAGGACCATGCTATGAAACGACCCGCATGTCCCCTTACCTTTCAGGGCCTGCCTTTTAAATAACAAGCAACAGCCAACATTACAAAAAAATCTTCAGATGTTTTATATTTGAAAATGGTTTGTATCATCTATACGCACCTGTGACTCGTGAAATTTTATGGTTTTTATATTATGTATTAATTTGTCGTGTAATTTTTATTCTATATCTAATATTTTTTTACCAACGTAAAATGATATTTATGATAAATGTAGGCTGAAAAAATTTGAAAAATAAATGATCAGTTTTGAGCAATTTAATAAGAATAATTTTTAATCAAATCGTTCAGAAATATGAAAAGTGTTGACATGGCATGATGGCTGGGGTTGTACGTAACAGGTCGGTCTCTTCACAAGCCAGACATCTTAAGTATTACGAAAAAATATTAGCCCCACGTACACCTGAAAGATAATTGTCGTCTATAAAAGTTATACGTTTTTAATTATTTCATCAAATTAAACAAAAAAATTTTTAAGGATTTTCATCCAAATTTATTTCTCTAAAAAATTTATCGATGGTAATTTACAGAAGCCAATTAATTTGTGGAGAAGTTCACCGTGAAATTCAACCCACGCGGAACAAATAAATTTCCGATGTGGCAATTATTTTTAACGGTTAAAAACTTTTCGTCGTATAATTATTCTGGTAGGAAAATTTGATTGATAACAAAAAATCGCACGTAGGGGTTGATTTAAGTTCAGAGAAGAATGAAACAACCAACGTATACAAAAAATTTGATGTATAATGCCTTTGTTCATTATAAATACAGAATCTTAATTCTAGTCTAACATTCAATTTTTCTCTCCAAAAAATTTTTAAAATTTGAAAGTCAGAAAGACAAAAATGTGGTTTGGGAAATTTTTAGAAATTTTTTTGTTGTGCTGTATGGTGAAGAGTTCTACAGCAGGCAGCATTCATTCCTCTCAGAGCCCATCGAGTTACTCCACATCTGCAAATCCACTTCCGTCCTCTGAGACCACAGAAATGGATTTCCTGGATGAAGTTCCAGACACAACATCATCTGTGGACGAATCTGAAATCTCCGGATCAACGACTCCAGGTTCCAATCAAATATCTCACACCACTACTTTCAACTTTGCCAAAGCATCCCATTCAACCAGTGCCAATTATGCCCAAGCTTCTCACTCTACTACTGCTAATCCTAGTAAACTTTCAGGGACTACCAATATGATGAACTCCATTCAAAATATTGGTTCTAGCACAAATTCTATTCGATTGTCTCAATCTACTGAGGCAAATTCTGTTCAAATGATTCAGTCTACCAGTGCAAATTCCATCAATAATTTTGGAAGTACCCAGCACCCCTCTCCTGCCCATATCTCTGGTACCACCACACCAAGTCCGATGAATGTCTATGAAAAATCTAAGGTCAGATTAGAAATTATTTTCGTGTTTAATTTTTTGTATAATTAAAAAAGTTGGAGGAGAGTTTACTACAAGCGGTTCGTAACTTGATATTTAAAAGAAGGCGTTTTGTTGAATACTTCAATATAAATCAAATGAAAATGTTTGTTACACTATCGAATGATAAATTATTTTGCATTAGAATTATTTAAAGAGTTTCGGCTACTTGAAAGAGGGGCTTGAGAATGATGAGGTAAGTTTGGAGGATGCAGTCAAAACACTGCAACGATTCGCTGGACTGAAGCAAACAGGTCAAACGACTGCACTCTACACATTTTTTCATGATTATTATCTAAAATAAACAATTGAATAATTTTTTAATGCTAAATTCTTAGAATTATTTTCAATTTTTTATTAAATATTCTAGGCGCTCTTGACGACGCGACTTTGGAGTTGATGAAGGTGTCGAGATGCTCCTTACCAGATATGGAGGCAGGCGATCAGAAAAGCAAACGATTCGAAACAGTTTGTTAGCCACATTTTTCAAACTTTCCAACTCAATTAATGCAACTACGACTACATCTTAAAAATTTATTTCTCATCTAAGCTAAATGGAAAAAATTTAAGTTGAGCTACAAAGTTTTAAACTACCCGAGCAAGGTTTCCGACTTGAGTCACCAGGATGTCGATAGAATCATCGCGGAGAGCTGGAAAGTAAGTTATTCATTTTATTAATTCAATTCAATGAAGAAAAGACTTTGGTTTGATGATTTTAATTGACGAGTTATCAAAATGATGAATTAAAGTTGAATTCATGTGGCTAACAAACAACCGTACAACATCGCCTAGATTTGGTCGGATGCTGCCCCGAAACTTTCATTCCCACTAGCGGGAGCCGAAGAAAAAGCAACGATAAAAATTTCATTCGAGGCAGGCAACCACTCGGACAAATATCGTTTTGACGGAAAAGGTGGGGTTTTGGGACACGGATTTTTCCCAACAACAGGTGTCGTGCACTTTGACGATGACGAACTCTGGAGTAATAACCGCAAAGAAGGTCTGCTCATTAGAATAACATTTTTATTTAAATTTTCCAAAAACATTTTCATACATTTTTATGCTAAAATCCGCTAAAAAAAACACCAACAACCCACAAAATTTGTTCAGGAAAGCAGCTGGCCTGGGTAGCTATTCACGAATTTGGTCACGCTCTTGGTCTGAATCATTCCAATGTGACCTCATCAGTAATGTTTCCGTACTATAAAGGCTACAAAGAAAACATCGAACTTCAGCAGGATGACATTGATGGGATCACAAGTCTCTACCCAAACTGAATTGGTGGAACCACTGAGAAGTGGATCTCATGGTGCTTTTAATAATGAATAGAACGATTAAAATTTTAAAGAAACATTTTAAATGATAGAGAATATAGTTCATTGATTATTTAAAAATTTTGAGTAATTTGAATAAAATCTGTTTGCATTAATTAATTTTTTAAGAATATAAAAATGAGTCGCCAAAAAATCTCTTAAAAATCTATATAAAAAACAATATATAACAAGTTTTTAACATTTACTCTCTCTCCTTTCTCTCTCTCTCTCTCTCTCTCTCTCTCTTTTCATTTTCATCTCTTTTTTTCTCCTTTTCTAGTTTTGAAGAGGATTGAAATACAAGACAAAAAAGATTAACACTGTTGTATTTAAAACAAAAAGCTTTCATATTATATGGCACGAAAAAAAACGATGGCTTTCTGTGTATGAATGTATGTCTATTTTTATTTACGTTACGTATGTATGTGTGTGTGTGTTGTGTGTGTATGTGTGTGTGTGTTGTGTGTGTGTGTGTGCGTGTCGTGTGTGAAATTAATAGTTAATCACCGTTCTATTGTTTAGAAGCATGAAAGAAAATTATGTAAATGAGTTTTTTTTAATTCAATGAAGCCAGATTTGATGATGGTAATGACAATGATGAGAAATATTTAGAAGAGTGAATAAATGAATGAACGAACGAACGAACGAACGAATGAATGAATGAATGAATGAATGAATGAATGAATGAATGAATGAATGAATGAATGAATGAATGAATGAATGAATGAATGAATGAATGAATGAATGAATGAATGAATGAATGAATGAATGAATGAATGAATGAATAAATGAATGAATGAACGAATGAATTAATGAATGAATAAACGAATGAATGAATGAATGAATGGGTGAAGAAATATTGGAATGGATGAATAAAACACGAATAAATGAGTAGAAGAATACATTGAAAATTTAAATAATTTAACAATCCCCATGATATTTCCAATATGAAAAAAGATCATCACATACATTAGGGAACGTCCTGTGAAGAATATTTCAACGTTTTAAACTTCAAATCAAAAAAAAGTTAATCAATTTCAAGACAAACTCAAACAGAAAAAGATCTATTTTTCCAAAATAATAAAATTTTTCAAAACAATCTCTCTCCTCCCATCTGAACCCAACAAAAATTGTTAAACAACTTTCAAGACGAATGCACCGAGTAGGCCAAAAACTGCAAGAATGAATGAAAACTTGATAGCAGGGCCAGCTGAGTAGAACATACTGTTGCAGAGATTTGTGTTACAGAGGCATCTCTGGACGTTTTCATAGTTGGCAAAAATAAATTTCATATCGCAAGGGGCAGATTCGTTGTAGACATTATCACTGCATCCTCTCCATGTTATGTTTCTGTCTGTGTGTGTGTGTGTGTGTGTGTGTGTGTGTGGGAGTTTGTCGGTTGTGTACGTGTGTTTGTCTGCTGTATGTGTGTACGTGTTAATTTGTGAATGTACGTGTATGTGTGAAACTGTACAAATGTGTGGTGTGGTGTGTGCAGTCATGATTACAAGGTAATTAAACGACATATTCGGTTGATTTCTTTAATTTTTCAGTCGGGGCATTATTAAAAACAGCCCAAAAGAACTGAATAGCCATCAAAAAGAGTCAGAACCAAAACATAAAACCAATTTTAAAATCTGAAACTGAAAATCTTGGTATTTAAATTTTTTTTTTAAGTTTCACTTACCAAATACGGCGACACTGTATGTCTTACAAGAAGTTGAACAATTAGTGGTTTCCGTTTTGTTGTCCACAACATTACAAAAGTTGCAATTGTAACAAGTGACAGCACTGGTCAGTTTGACGGTTGTGGTCAGTGCGATAGCCACTAAGCAAATTAGGTTGGTCACTTTTTGGCCGGCCATTTTTGTACTACTTTGTTTTATTTTCTGTTTTAATTGTTTGTTGATTGAATTACGAATCAAACTAACAATCAATTAATCAATCAACCTAGCAACAAATCAATCAAATAGTTTACTTAATCAAGCGACCGGACATGATAAACGCAATATACTAACTCCTGACTGATTTCCCCGAAACAAATTTCAGAGGAAAATTGAGACAAATTATTTTCAATATGTTACTTATTCCACAAGTTAACTCAACAATGCCTCGTATGTTAATGATGAAAATGTTCTGTCAGGCGCTGAGCTTCTGATGATGATGACGACGACGATGATGATGATGATAAATATTGTATTGATTATAACGACGATGATGACGACGACGATGATGACGTCAGAGTGAGTTATTCACTCAATGTATCTATAATCTGCCTCTTGTCTACTTGTTATTCATTTTCACGTCGTCATGCCTCAGAAAATACGTTCAAACCTACACAGACACACGCACACAAACACACACACACATACACGCACACACACACAAAAATTTATTTTACAAAAGGCGCATTTTACTCAATACAATTAGCCAGCGATCCATTGGTCTCGATCCATTGGTCCCTCACTTAGACATTTGTGAGCTCTTATTTGTTGCTTATTCATTCATTTATTTATTCGTTTATTCATTCGTTTGTTAATTCATTTGTTAATTCATTTTTTCGTTTATTTGTTCGTTCGTTTGTTCATTTGTTCATTCATTTGTCCGTTCGTTCACTCATTTGTTAAAAAATCTGAGGAACAGAAATTGAATGAATGAATGAATGAATGAATGAATGAATGAATGAATGAATGAAGGAATGAATGAAGGAATGTACATAATAAGGATGAACGAACGAATGAATGATTAAATAAATAAATAAATAAATAAAAAGATGAATTAATAAACGAATGAATGAAAGAAAGAAAGAATAATGAGAAAATGAAAGAATGAATAAATATACAAGGTTAAATATAAACGAATTGAATGATTTTATTTTAGATCTAAATATCAATTGAAAAATACAAAAATGATACAAAATGATACAAAATGGTACAAAATGATACAAAATGATACAAAGAGATACAAAATGATACAAAATGATATCTTGATATCTAGTTGTACAAAAATGCGAATGTAGCAGCAGTTTACCTGTCTGATCATTCGTCTAACTTGAAGTAAAGATAACTAACTACTGGTTTGTTTGTAATTATAAGCAACACACACAGTTGCATATTATGTATGTATGTATGTACTATATACACACACGTAAAGAATGTTAAAACAACAAAAACGTTTGAATATTGATGATGATAATGTTGTTGTTGTTTGTTTGTTGTTGTTGATATTGTTGCTTTGTTGTTGTTTGTTGTTGTTTTGTTGTTGTTTGTTGTTGATGTTGTTGTTTTGTTGATGTTGCTGTTGTTGTTGTGTTATCTTCATCATCCTCATCGTCATCATCATCATCATCACCTTCGTCATCATCATTGTTATCATCATCGTCGTCTCATCTTAATAATATTGTAATACAGATCAAGCTGATACCAATGTTCTACTTATGTTGGGTATTTTTTTAACTCTGTTTCTCTATGTGTGTGTATGTGAGTGTGTGAGCGTGAATGTGTGTGTGTGCGTGCGTGAAGGTGTGCATGTGTGCGTGTGTTTGTGTGTACACTCATTCGTTCATTCGATTGTTTATTACTTCAATCATTCAACCCCCTACGATTATTCAAATGTCTAATGAAGTAAATTCTTTTACTTTTGAACACACACAAATAGACAAACACACAAACACACACACAAACATACACACATACACCCACCCACACACACACATACAAACACACATACACACAAATAGAGTTAATGTCACCAGTTGATATGACTTTCAATTCTTCATTTCACGAATATTGATGTCATTTCTAATGGTTTTTGGTAAAAGTTGATGTAATCTTGCTCTGATATTGATGTCTAATTGTTGATGGGACACGTTTATGATGGTATCAATGATAAAAATGATACAATGATAAAATTGATACAATGATAGTGATGATGATAATAAGACATTAATTAGTATTGAAATTTTGCCAACAGACAGACAGACAAACAGACAGAAGACAGACAAGCACACTCACTTACATATACACACACATATATATATATTTATTGTATTTGTGTGTGTCTATATTTCGATTCTTACTAAAAAACAAAGAACTCAACTGTATGAAACTTCAATAGATGATTAGATCCTACTGAGTTTTATGCACCTATGGTTTTTGTTATTGTTTACATTGGAAAATCTTGTATTATCGTTGTAGAAAAAATTCATTTTTTTAAAACTAAAACAAAAGACTTATATGAAGCAACAAACTCATACAATGAGATACAATACAATACACTATGCACACACGCATTATGTTCGCTGATTTGGTTTCATTTATCTGTGCTAAGTAATGCAATTTTTATTAATAAAAATATAATTATATTAATTTTCATAGGCATCTTTTTCTCTCACTTTCTCTCTTTCTCTCTCTCTCTCTCTTGTTCTAGATATGTGTATAGTATATATAATATCCATATACATACATTCATGAAGTTTTTTTATTTTATTTAGTAGTTCTTTTTTATAGATAGAAAAAACTGAAAAAGTAATCAGCTGATTGCATTAAAATACAAAACATTATTATTATTACTATTATTATTATTATTATTATTATTATTATTATTAGAAAAAGATGATGAAGCCAGGACCAATGAAAATTTTCTCTAAAGGGCAGAAGTTTTTCCAAGACGTCTTCTCATTCAAAAATGAAGATGGTTTATTTATTATTATTATTATTAATGTTGTTATTATTATTATTGCTATTATAATTATATCATTACGTCGTCGTCGTCGTCACCATCATCATTTTTGTCCTATTTTCATTTTAGGTCTGAATGCTTCGATGAATTTTTCATCCAAAATTTCTAAATGTAAATTGATTGTTGAGATATTTGTAGGATATTTAACAGTTTAACTTGAGAATGTTTGTCAGCTTTGCATATTTGTTACCAGAATGTGTGTTCACCATTATCATCACGTTGTCATCATCTTCGTCATCATCATCACATTATTTCTTCTATGTATAGTTCCGTTATAACATTTAGAGGCTAACAATGTTTTTATTAATCCTGACAAAAATATTATAGATAGAAGACAACATCTGCAAATGCACCAACAAACACACCAGTCGACACAACAGCATAAACAACAACAACATCAACAACAACACGAAAACAACATCAACACAGACTACAGCAAGAACGCATTGCACGACACCAGCCCATCTCCGTCCAAACGTAAATGCCCACAACAACAACAGCCGCAACAACAATACCAACACCAACAATACACCCCACATAAGTCTCAGTTCACTTTTAAATCAGGTCAAAGAATCGAAAACGCAACTGGCCTCCTCAATAAAATTGTTGACCTATTCAACAGAGATGACTTAAGTGACGTTAAAATTATCGTTCGAACCCCAGACGGAGTAGTTAGGCAGTATCCCTCTCATAGGTTAGTGTTAGCTTGCTCTAGTCAGGTCTTTAAAGTCATGTTTACCGGAATCGTTTGGAATGAGGCCACCAAATCTGAAGTCACCCTCTCAGAAGATGTCAAAACTGGTCAAGTTTTTGAGGCTTTTTTGCGATATTTGTATTCTCGAGTTATCTACCTGCAACATCCAACCGTTCTCTATATACTGATGCTGGCTGATAAGTACGATGTGATTGATTTGCAGGTTTGTGCTTGTGTGTGCGTGTGTGTTTGTTGTGTAGAAGTTTTTCTTTTTCTCTGTGTGTCTGTGTGTGTGTGTGTGTGTGTGTGTGTGTGTGTGGGATCGTATGTGCGTTTGTATGTGTATTTGCCGTGTTAAATCAAACAACACACGCGCAAGAATCAAACTGAAAACAGAAAAATTGATTGCAACAATAGAAGGCCTGTACTGAGTATATGATTGAACATTTGGTCTCAACCACACAACTCAACCGATCAACCTCGTGGCTGTCCTACGCTCGACTCGCCAATCACAAAACTCTGGCTCACGATGCTGCTGAATTTATCAGGCTTAACTTCTATAAGGTCGAAATGAATGAATGAATGAGTGCATGCATGGATGAATGAATGAATGAGCAAACAAACGAATGAATGAATGAATGCATGGGCGAACGAATGAATTAAGCAATGAAAGAAAGAATTAAAATATAATGAGAAAATTATGACATTTGTCTACCCCTTAGGTCATAAGTGGACCTGACTTTTTGCATATGGATGCAGATATGTTAATTAGTTTCATCAGCCAATCGGAAATTGTCATTCCGGATGAGTTCATTCTGTATCAGGGGGTGGTCAGATGGTGGTTTAAAAATACTTGTTATTATAATGATGAAGATGATGATGAAGATGATGATGAGGACGACGATAATGACGTCATCGATGATGGTGATAGTAGTGATGTTTTTCGTGGTGGCGATGATGATGATGACGGCGATGAAATGAACAATTTGGAAGATACATCCGCCTATAAAAGTTTCTGGAAGTATTGCAGAAGGAAGTTCACCAATTTGAAGGATGAAAATATCGAGACGGACAACGACGACGACGACGATGATGATGATGAAGGCTGCAGTGATAGTAGCGGTACAAACATCATCAACAACAACATCAACAGTGATAATGAGGATGATGATGATAATAACGATACACATGATGATGATGATGATGGTGATAACGCCAATGATGTTTATAAAAAATGCAACCTTTCCAACAGTCCGAGCCGTCGTGCCTTGGCGGAGGAACCACATCTTCATAATGGCCTCAACAATGTTGATGAAAAAAGAGATTACGATAATGATGTTGAAGAAAATTGTGATAATGATCTTGTTGATGATGATACTGATGATGACGACGTTAATGATGATAGTAGCGATGATTCAGATGACGTCAGCGAGTTGAGAGACATGGCCAGGAAAATATTTTCATGTATCAGATACCCTTTGATGGGTAACGCTCAACTGAAAGCAATATTCATTGACATTTTTAAATTTTATCAGTCGGCCAATTGGAGAATTTCATCTAGTCAATCAGCCAATCACAGAACATCACCCGGTCAATCAGCCAATCACAGAACTTCACCCAGTCAATCAGCCAATCACAGAACTTCACCCACTCAATCAGCCAATCACAGAACTTCACCCACTCAATCAGCCAATCATAAAACTTCATCATTTCAATCAGCCAATCACAAAACGTCAACCAGTCAATCAGCCAATCAGACAACACACATAGGAGTAAATAATATCCCACGAAAGCTAACAGCAATCAATAAGCCGACCAAACAACATTCCAACCGATCAACCAGGCAACGATCTCTCATCAATCATCAACTGAGTGCCAACCGGAAAAAAGTCTCAGCCGCATCAACAAAAACTGCTGCTACGAGTAGAAATGTTAACTTTTTGAAATCAAAATTCTACCGAAAGTGCAAAGCGATGATGAGTGTGCTTGAGAGATATGTGATCCAGGCCTTGCATCTGCAGGATATCGTGAAAAAAAATGTCAATGAAACGACAGGTTGGCTGGCTGGTTGGTTGGTTGCTTGCTTGCTTAGGCTAATTGATTCAGTAAATGGTTATTTTTAAGAGTTAATCTATAAAATTTTTTAATTATTTATTTTCGATCCAGGTTTTTTTTTTCTTGTTGTACATACTTTCATTATAACGCATAATTAATTTCTTCCAATTCTATTTCGTACTTTGATTGGTCGATCAGAGGTCCAATCATATGCGAGGACCTACTTCCAGCGACACCACGTGACACTCCGCAACTACACGAACGATGTTTGGAGCACTAGCTTGGTGGTCGATAAGTTCTCCAGTGTCAACAGGGCAGATGTCAGGTTGGGGCGGTTTGGTTGTGCTGTTGTTGCAGTTTTTCGGATTCATGTTTCTACTTTTTCATTGGATAGCCTATCAACCAATCATCTGTCGAAATAATCAGCTATTTAAAAATCAACTAATCAATCATTTAATCGACCAATCAATCACCCATCAACCAATCAAATTTCAGATCAGTGGTGTTCTCTAGCCCCTCGGATGCCCTCCAACCAGATGAAACCACGCACCACCCCGCTTGGGATTGGACGGGAGAGTTGTACAGTAGAGGAATGGTCTACCAGCCATGCATCATGCTCAATATCTGGACCAAATGGGAACTTCCGGGTAGTTTTTTTTTCTAGTTTCACTTTCGTTTTAGTTTCACTTTCATTTTTTTTTTCAATTTTCGAAGTTTCCTTAATTTTATGATGTCAATTCAAACTCCCATACAATCATCTTCCTCCACCAGGCGACACCTTCAACACAGTCCGCCTGGTCCTGCACAGCAATCAATCACGTGACACCCAGCAGACGAGCAGCAGCGGCGGCGGCGGTTTAAGTGGCCTACAATCGTCTTTTTTCAGTTTCATCAGGTCGGAGAGTTCTAGTCCAGGCAAAGGGAAAAATGGGAAATCCCAAGCTAGGGGTGGTAATAAAAATATTCAGAACGATGATGGCGTCAGCGCTTGCAGCAGCAGCAGCAGGAAACAAAACCCCAACAACAGAAGAGATGTTGAGTTGTGTGTGCTGGTGACGGGAGTGCAAGATAACGTCGAGCATTTCAAGTCATCCGTCAGTAGGCAGTTCTCATTCGATCCAGCCAACGATAGGACGAGGTTCATTAATGACCTAGTACCCTTCTATGTGCTCAACCAGCCGTCGTCTGCGTCGTCACCATATTTGTCTGGCTCGGATGGCAATTCATTTAAGATGACTATTATTATTAAGCCTACGAGATGTTCACTATTTGACGATTGATTTAGTGAACGTGCAAGTGAGTGAATGAATGAATGAATGAGTGAAAGATTAATTGAATAAATGAATGATTAATTGAATAAATGAATTAATGATTAAATGAATGAATGAATGATTGATCAGTTACTCGATTGATCCATCAATTTAAAACACCAAAGTCTATTCCACATTAAATTGACGGCTCGTTTATTTCGCATTATGCATGCAGTTGTCATATCATCACTGTAATTATTACATCACCAACGCTACCATCGCTATTACGTCATTATCATCGTCGTTATGACGTCATTTTCATCGTCGTTATGACTTCATCATCGTCATCGTCATCATAACTTTTTTTCGCCAGATCCCTTGCATGTTTTTAAAAAATCTCCCATTAATTGACTTCAATTGTAATTAATTAACTAATTAATTATTAATTTTCTTTTTAGAATTCATCGATTTATAAATAAATAAATTACTTTTTTATTTTTTATTTTAACTCGAAAAATAAAAATCTGAGAAAAAAAAAAATTTCAGTGTGATTAATTAATTCTACGTTTCTCCTTTACAATAGACAGAAAAAAACTAATTAACGTCTCTCTCTCTCTCTCTCTCTCTCTCTCTCTCTGTGTGTGTGTGTGTGTCTGTGTTTTTCTATGTAAATCATAGAATGTTTAAAAGTGGAAACTGAGAGGTAATATAAAACGTCATCATTATCATCATCGCATTTTCATCATCATTATCGTGGATAATACAAAGGCACACAAATAACTTATTCATTCATTCATTCCCTCATTCATTCATTTCCTCATTCATCCATCCATTCATTTTCATATGACGATAGAGTTGTTTGATATATTGATATGGATCGTAGGTAATTATGTATGTTATGTTATATTATTAGATGTACAATATGTATGTGTGTATTTGTATGTGTGTTTAGTGTGTATGTGTGTGTGCTTGCGTGCGTGAATGTATGTCTATGTGTTCGTCTGTCTGTCTGTTTGTATGACTGATATGGAATATAATAAGAAGGAGAAAATAAAAGACACGAAATTGATGTATACAAGGCATCATGTGGAATGATAATAACAAGGTATGAAATTACCATGTTACGAACAATAATCAATCAATCAATCAATCAATCAATCAATCAATCAATCAATCAATCAATCAATCAATCGTTGAATGAATTAATAAATAAATGAATTATTCATTCATTCAATCATTCATTATTCAATCAATCATTCATTCCGTCAGTTCATATTGCAATCAACCTAAATAGCAATCAGTCAATCGACCGACCAGCCAACCAACCAATTACAAAACTCTAATCCAGTTTAGTTTTAGCGAATAAAAAAAATGGAATGATAGCATTATGAGGATATACGGTACGATGAAAATTGAAAGTGACACTAAAATAAGGTACGGATGAAATAGTCACAAAATGCCAGCAATTTAACTGGTACTTATTTATGATATAATCAAATGCGGCTTTAACAATGAAGAGGTATTGGAATAATAATTATCGCTAAACTGTCTTTTAAAAACCAAATGAGATTAAGGATGGGAATGTAGATGACATTATAAGGGATATAATCTCTCAACCAACCAACCATCCAATCATCAATCAATCAAATAAACAACTAACCAACCAACCAATCATTCAAGTAATCGAATAAACGAATGCAATATGCAACGAATGCATTTGAATTTATATATTCAAGACATTAACAAAGAACAAAAAATTAAAATACGTAATATAATTAAAATGTGATATATATATATATATATATATATATATATATATATATATATATATCACATATAAAGACATAACTTACCCTACAAAACAAATCAAAGAGTAAGCCAATCAACCAACCAACCAACCAATCAACTAATCAAGTTTCTAACTAAACAATCTATAATACATACACATAAATATCTATATCATATACATATATAACACACACACACACACACACACATATATATATATATAATATACCTATATAACACCACGAAAATGACGTCATCATGTACAAGTTAAGACACAACGGAATGCATAGAAAGATGAATGATATAAAAACTTGTGTATGTATGTACGTATGTATGTACGAATGTATGTATGTACGTACGTACGTATGTATGTATGTATGTGTGTGTGTGTGTGTGTGTGTGTGTGTGTGTGTGTAATAATTAAAGCAATAACTGCATTAAAAACTTCACTAAAAGGCCATATGTACGAAATAAAACATCGCGATATGTTTGCATATCTTTTGGATGTATATACATTGTATGTGTGTGTGTGTATGTGTGTGTGTGTACGCGCGCGCGCGTGTGTGTGTCTGTGTTTGTTTGTATAAAACAGAAAGGAGAAAAATGAAATAAAATCGAATTTGTTTAAATTTATTTATCAAATAAAATAAAATAAAATATTCCAATGGTAATAAATCGTGAGATGAAATTTGTAGATTCAAGAAATTTTATAACGCTCAATATCATCATCTTCATTTGTCATCATCATCATCATCGTCGTTACTAATAACAATATATTATCTATCACAATCATCATTAAATCATCACCACCATCATCATCATCATCGTCACATCATTAAATCATCATCATCATCATCATCTTGTTTCTCATCAATTAATAACACGTGGTCTATATAATCGTCATCGTCATCATCATTATCGGTGGTAATAGTAGTAGCAGCAGCAGTAGTAGTAGTAGTAGCAGCAGCAGTAATGGTAGTAGTGGTAGTAGCAGTAGAAGTAGCAATAGTATCGTCTATCAACATTTTATGGAAACCCCCACCATCATCTTTAAACCACGCTTCCCGAAATTATACACCCATTGGTTTCGAATTAAATAAGTGTTGGTGTTGTTTGAAAGGATAATGATGAAAAAAGATTATTATTATTATTATTATTATTATAATATTCATATCATCCGTCGCGTCCATAACAAAGAGAGCAATTTCATTCATTGAGATGAACGTCATTAAACTGACCACCACCACCATCATCATCATCAATGACTTAATTACCAAGAGGAGTTTCAGAATCTTTGGTTGTGGATAAGTTAATCACGTGATGACGATTGTCATAATGGACGTCGTCGTCACCTATTTCAGTTTCTTTGTTCTGAGAAAAGTTATCGCCAGCGTCATCATCATCAGGAGCAGCATCTTGACTTTTAGCAACCTCGTTCACAAAGTAGTCGATCAGGCGTTCGTGTTCGTTATCATCTTTATAATTTTCCCCGCATCCGCTTTCTGTTTCTCTACTTCCGCTTTCGGTTTCATCCTCTTCCTCCTCTTCTTCTTCCGGATGCTGTGGTCCGCCGTGTCTGCGTCTATGCCTCATCATGCTGTGTTTCAGGGTGAACCGGGCAGAGCAAAGGTCACATTCGAATGGTCGTTCACCTGTTCGTTTGTTTGTTCGTTCGTTCGTTTGATCGTTTGTTTGTTGTTGCTGTTTACGTTGTTATTCATAAAAAATAATTTAACACCAACATCAAACAACACCAAATACCGCACCAACGACAACAACAACAAGAAACAAACAGACGAACATACATACAAACAAACGAACGACTAACAAACGAACACGAACTGACCTGTATGTGACCTCATGTGCCTCCTTAAGTCCTGCAACGACCAAAACCTCTTGGGGCAGAAGGTGCAGAAGACCTTGCGCTGAGCGTAATCGCCCTCGGGTCGAAGGTCAATGTCAAGGCCGCCGGGATTTGTTATCTTTCTGGCTGTAATTAAATGATTAACTATCACAATTGAGATATCTTATGTTGATAATATTCTCACTGTATCGCTACTATCATAAAAAATGTATACAAACATGCTCGGATACAATGATGCATACAATGATACAATGATGCATACAATGATACAAAAATACAAAGGTACAGAACGAAAATACAAGGATACCAAAACACACTGATACAAAGATACAATGATACAATGATATACAAAGATACAAAACCCCAACCCTGTATATTTCCGCTGAGCATATCTTCAACGAGCTGGTCCATGAACATGGAGTATCCATTGATATCATCTGATATCTTGTTCTTCTCTTTCAAACACGTGAAATCAGTTGGGTGGCACGTGACCTGTTTGTTTGTTCGTTCGTTCGTTCGTTCGTTCGTTCGTTCATTCATTTATTCGTTCATTCATTTATTCGTTCAATCATTCATTCACCCATTCTTTCATTCAATTTTTTATTAATTCATTTCTTCATTCTTTTGCTTATTCATTCAGTAATAGTCAACCAATCAATCAATTAACCAACCAAACGACCAATCAATCATCCAATCAATCAATCAACCAACCAACCAATCAATCAACCAACCAACCAATCCATCAATCAATCAACCAACCAATCAACCAATCATCCAATCCATCAATCATTCAACCAACCAATCAACCAATCAACCAACAACCAACCAATCAACCAATCAATCATCCAATCCATCAATCAACCAACCAACCTTATGAAGAAGACTATCGATCCTATGTTGGTAGGAGGCGTCACAGAGGTAGCATTTGTATGGCAGGTCGATGTTGTGTTCTTTCAGATGGCGCAATAGAACCTTGCGACACTTAAATTCCAGTCCACACTTCCAACAAGCTGAATGAATGAATGAATGAATGGATGGATGAATGAATGAATGACAAAATGAATGAATGAATGAATGACAAAATAAATGAATGAATAAATGAATTAATGAATGAATAACCGATTGAGTGAATTAGCGTTAAACGAATGAAAGAATAGATAAATAATGATTATATTGGTTGAATGGACAAATGAGTGTTGAATCAATAAATGAGCGAATGAACGAATGAATAAATGAATAAATAAATGAATGAATAAATGAATGAATAAATGAATGAATGAATAAATGAATGAATGAACGAATGAATGAATAAATACCCGTTATCTTATCAACGTTATAGTTATCCTTCTCTGGATTTTTAACTGCAGTTAATGTTGACGAGGTCCCAGTTAGTTGCTGCTGTTGTTGGTGGTGTTGTTGCTGCTGCTGAAGCATTGATGCCATAGAGGATAGTTGATGTTGTTGTTGATGTTGTTGTTGTCGTTGATGTTGCCGTTTTAACTGCTGTAGTTGTAGAAAAACTTCTAAATCCAGCAGATTTTGTTGTTGCTGCTTTGCTGAGTTCTGCCTTTTATTATTGCTATTATTATTATTGTTGTTGTTATTGTTGTTTACTTTATTAATATTATTATTGTTATTATTATTATTGTTGTTGTTGTTGCTATGGACACCCATTACATTCCCATTGTCATTATCATCTGCGGAGTTATGTTTATGTACGTTTGTTGATTGACTAACCATTATTATTATTATTATTATTATTATTATTATTATTTATTAATATTATTTATTAATATTATTTATTATCATTTATTGAAATTATTATAATAATAGTTAATAATAATAATAATAATAATAATAATAATAATAATAATAAAAAGATAACCATTCTCATCCGTATCATCATCATCGTCGTCATCATTTTTATTATTATTATTATTATTGTTGTTGTTGTTGTTGTTGTTGTTGTTGTTTTTGTTGGGGTTGTCCTCTTCGTCGTCGTCGTCGTCATCCTTATTGTCGTTCATCTGTCCCAGGTCCTGATGTATAATTATAAAATAGATGAATGAGTGAGTGAATGAATGAGTGACTGAATGAATGAATGAGTGAATGAATAAATGAATGAGTGAATGAATGAATGAGTGAATGAATAAATGAATGAGTGAATGAATGAATGAATGAATGAATAAGTGAATGAATGAATGAGTAAATGAGTGAGTGAGTAAATGTATGAATAAATGAATGAATGAATGATTGATTGAACGAACGAACAAACGAATGAATGAACAAACAAACGAACGAAGGAACGAACGAATTAATCAATCAACAAGCAAACAAACTAATAAACAAATGAACGGATTTCAACAGAAAATAACATGGACGAATAAATTATTATAAACATAATTAACTATAATTAATTTTAATTATGTTATTGCAACAGCAGAAAACGCACTTCGTACTGCGGCTGAATGACGACAGGATCCACTGCTGGCTGTATGTCTGGATGGACCGCATTAAAGTGCTCCATCAACTTCTCTGCATGAATGAATGAGTGAATGAGTGAATGAGTGAATGAGTGAATGAATGAGTGAGTGAGTGAGTGAGTGAGTGAATGAATGAATGAATGAATGAATGAATGAATGAATAAATAAATGATGAATGTACGACTGAATGAATGAATTAATTAATGAATGATGAATAAATGAATGAATAAACGAATTAATGATGAATGAATAAATGACTGGATGAATGAATGAATAAGTGAGTGAGTGAATAAACGAACGAATGTTTAAGCGAACAAAGTGACCATCATCATCTTCATCCTAAACGATAATCAACCTGATGAGTCAAACGAAGTGAAGAGGCAGTGATAGCAGCTAAAAAGTTCTTTGGTCATGATTGACGATGACGACGCGGTAGGAAATGACGACGAAGATGACGTCATCGTCACTCTCTGCACTTCACTCATCTCATTCTCACGTCCAAAATGGCCGAAAAATTGTTTGCAATCCGAATCCGCATTATTATTAAGATGATGACGACGATGATAATTTGAAGAAGCAATCGCACTGGAGTATAACCGGCCATCATCATCATCATCGTCGTCGTCTTCGTCATCATCATCGTCGTCATCGTTATCAGGATCGTCGTCACCATCATCGTCACCATCTTCGGCGACATTCTGGCAGTGGTGCTTCCTTAGCATGTGACGACCTCTGTTGGACTTCGTCGAAAATCCAACATCGCATATGTCACACGTGTACGGCTTTTCGCCTACTCGAATGTATGAATGAATGAATGAATGAGTGAATGGATGAATGATTGGATGGATGATTGGATGAATGAATGATTGGATGGATGATTGAAAATTTAGATAAACGAAGGAAAGAATGGATGGATGAATGAGGCAATCAATCTATAACTTGCTCCAACAACATATCCGATCAAACAACCAATCACTCAACCAACCAACCAATCAACAGACTAACCAATCAACAAACTAACCAACCAACCAATCAATCAACCAAACAACCAGCCAGCCAACCAACCACTATGTGTGAGAAGATGCCTACCCAATGAACTAGCCCACGGAAAGGTTCTGGGACAGTAACAGCACATGAGTTTATGCGGCGAGTCCGAATACGAACTTCTCTTGGAGATCTTTCTCCTCGACGAACCACCGCCACTTGGAAAGCCATCCTCGCTACTGCAACTACTATTATCGTCGTCATTCTCTGTCGTAGGGTTATCAATATCGTTGTTGTTGCTACTACTGTTACTGTTGCTGTTGTTGTTGCTGTTTTTGAGATTTCTGTTGGCGGAATTTCTGTTACGCGTTTTGTTTTCGCGGTTGTTGTTTTTGTTGCTGTTGTTGTCTTGAGGTACCTGGAACAGCCTGAGGATTTCATTGCTCGGTGAATTGGCTAGCAGTGAAGCAACCAGGACAGGCGGCAAAGTTGATAGAAAGTTTCGCGATGGTAGAAAAGATGAGGATGGTGATGAGGAGGAAGATGAGAATGACGGTGGAAGCGCTGCAATAGTTGACTGAGAAGACACCGTTGTTACTATGTTGTTGTTGTTGTGGTCGGTTTTTGATATGCTGCTTTTGGGGTTTTTGTTGTTGTTGCTGTTGTTGTTGTTGCTGTTGTCGCTGTTGATGTTGTTGCTGTTGTTGCGGAAGTTGCGGTCGCTGCTTGCGTCATCAAACGATGCCCTGAGATGATGAAATCTTACTTGTGGCGACGATGATACTGCTGCCGACGACGACGACGAAGATGATGACATTTTTAAGTTGTTGCTGTAGTTGATGCCACCAACATTATTATTATTGTTGTTGTTGTTGCTGCTGTTGTTGTTGCTGTTGTTGTTGCTGTTGTTGTTGCTGTTGTTGTTGCTGTTGTTGTTGCTGCTGCAGCTGTTGTTGTTGTTGACGATGACGCCATCAGAAGATGCATTCGTTGAGTTTTGTTGTTGGTTTCCGTGCGAGATTAAATGGAAGTGCAACTGTTGCGAATGGAGAAAATTATCATGCATCAAATTATTTAACAAATAAATAACTCACGCTAAAAATCGCGAAACCATGCGCGAACACAAATATCAAAACAAAGTGATGGAGTGTGTGAATGAATGAATGAATGAATGAATGATTGAATGAATGATGAACGACTGGACGAACGAACGAGCAAACGAACGAACGTAGAATCCTAGGATATTGGATTGGATATCAGAGACATCAGAAGACAGATCAGGTAGATGTCAGGAGGTCAGCATAGACAGACAACATAAACAGACATAAATAAACATAAATATAAACAAAGAAAATAAATTAACGTAAACAAAAAAAAATCATTGTAAAAATTAGGTACTTTAATGAAATTAAATTAAAATGTAAACGAAAAATTAAAAAAAAAATTATATACAACTCAAAAAAACTTGAAAAGAAAAAACTATACATAACTCCAAAAAACTTGAAAAAAAACTATATTCAACTCAAAAAAAATTGAAAAAAAAACAAAAAAAAAAACGCGGGAAACCTTGGTGGGTTGTTTGAAAATGGCACCACACTGTGGGCAATGGTACCTATCGGTTCTGCTATTGTAATGAGCTTCAAAGAGGCGAGAAGGTGGTAATAGTAATGATTGCGACGACGACGACAATGGTGGTGGTGGTTTGAGTGATGGTGCGTCCAGTAAAATTATAGGCTGTGATGGTTTTGTGGCGGTTGGTGTTGATGATGATTGTTGGGCGGATGGTTTGAGAATGGATGTGGCGTTATTTGAGTGTAGAAGTGATTTGAGGTTTTTTATAAATACATCTTTGCTGCTGTTGTTGTTGCTTGTGTTGTTGTTTGTGTTGTTGCTTGTGTTGTTGTGTTGTTTGGATGATTTTAGGATAGATTTCATGGATCTTAAATGTTGTTGTTGCTGTTGTAGTTTGTTTATTAGAAATGGATTAGTGCTGTTGATGTTTTTGTTTAACAACGACATATTACTTGACGATTGCTGTTGTTGCAGTTGTTGTTGATGTTGTTGCTGCTGCTGTTGAAAATGCTGTTGTAGAAGTAGTAGCTGTTGAAGAGCGGATTTGTTACTCTGTAAATCGCTCATTCCAGAACCAAAAATAGTGTTGTAATTGTTGGTGTTGTTGTAGTTGATGTTGTTGTTGATGTTGTTCGATTTAGCCTTACCTACAGTCAAGTCAATCGGTTGGTCTGAGTTTGCTGACGATGATTTCAAACTGAAATCCAGTGGCTGGTCGTAGTTGTCGTCGTCAGCATTATCCTCATTGTTAACGCTATCGTCATTGAAGCCGTTGTTGTCGCTACTGCTGAATTTGTGATTGAGATTAAAATTGATGTTGTTGCTGTTGTTGATGATGATGTTGTTGTTGTTGCTGATGTTATATTTGTTGAGAATTTGCACTAGGAGTTGTTTCTGGTGTTGGCTAATACCAATTTTAGTGTCCTGGTTGAGTTTGTTCATGTTGTTGTTGTTGTTGTTGTTGTTGCGCATGTTGCCGACAACATTTCTGTCAACAATCGGATAGCCAACAACAGCATTACTCTCTAGCTTTATATTTCCTGCCTTAGTTTCACAGACATCAACTACGACACTGCAGTCTCCATCAGCGTTTTTGTTGTTGCTGCTGCTGCTACAGCTGCTACTGATGTTGCGCGTGTAGTTGCGACCGTTGCCGTTGTTGTTGTTGAGTTTTTTTTGCGCTTCTAAGAGGTCGTAGTTGATTTTCATGTTGGTCTCGAAGGGAGGCAGAATGAGGGGGTGTTGCTTCTGGATGTGGCGCAGGCAGTTGGCCTTCGTGGAAAACCCTATCTTGCAGACCTGGTTGGTTGTTGGTTGGTTGTTGTTAGTTGGTTGGATGTGTTGTTGTTGGTTGTTGTTAGTGGTAGAGGTAAAATTATTGGCGGTGATTCGGTCATTCTATCAATCGATCGATCATTCTATCAATCAGTCGGTCAGTTTGTCCGTCAATCGTCAACCAGTCAATCGTCTATTTAACTAGTAAGTCAATTAACCAATCAACCAATCAATCAATCAATCAATCAATCAAACAAACAATCAATTAATCAAACATTAACCAAGCGCTTTAAGCAAACAACCTTGCAAGAGTAAGGCTTGTGTTGGCAGCTCGTCTGAGATCTTAGGTGGTGCTTCAAGGCTCGCTCGATTTTGAAGTCCTCGCCGCAGTATTTGCAGATGGTGTTATTATTATTATTATTATTATTATTAAAACTATTATTTAAATTATTATTAATGTTGTTTTTCTTATTGTTGTCGTTATTGAAGATGTTATTAATGTTATCATCAACGGTATTGATGTTATTATCATACGTGCTAGTGCTATCATTGTTGTTGTTACTATTGTTGTTGTGGTGGTGGCTGTTGTTGTTGTTATTGTTACTGTTGTTGCTTTTGATGTAAATCCGAGTGTTCTTCTCGATATCATCTTTTACTAGCATCGCGTGCTTTTTCCTGTTGTCAAAAAGATAACGAAGACGACGATGATGACAGATGTGGTGGTAATGATAATGACAAAAATGACACGACAACAAAACCAACAACCACAGCAGCCACAACAACAGCCACAACAACCGCAGCTACAACAACTACAACAATAAGAGAAAAACCAACTTCAGATGTCGCTCGCAGTTAGCTTTCGTAGTGAACCACTGGCTGCAGAGTGCGCAGCTAAAATGCTTTTCGACTGGTAGAAATCTTGAAGACGATGTTGAAGTTGCTGCTGCTGCTGCTGCTGTAGCCACTGACGTTAACGACGATGAAGTTATGTCAGAATCTTGATTGTCGTCGCGACCGTTATCATTGAGACTGTTGTCTACTTTGCAGTTGTTGTTCGCGTTGCTATCGGTTATCATCAAATCAAGAGGTTCTTCATTTTCAGCGTTTGCCTGGTGAACGAGTTTTAAAAAATTATTTTCTGGCTTGTTTTTTAATATAGTAATGTAAATCGTTTCCGTATATTCATTCATTGAGCAATCATTCATTCGTTCTGTCATTAATTAATTAATTAATTAATTCATTCATTTCTTCAATCATTCATTCATCCATCCACCCATCCAACTAACTATTTCTCGGGGTACGTAATTCAGCCCAAGTGCCAGCATAAAGACCTTCTGATTCATTAAATCTCTCGAATCTTCACTTCTAATTTTATTATTATTACTATTATTATTATTATTAATACTATTAATATTACTACAACTAATATTATTATTATTACAAATATTATTTTTATTGTTGTTGTTGTTATCATTGTTGTTGTTGTTTTTGTTGTTGTTGCTGCCACTAATGTAATTATTTGCGTTATTGTTATTATTGTTAGGACATAGGACTCTCTTTCCTCCACTATTGATATTGCAGCTGTTGACATTTTTATTGCTGTTGTTGTTGTTATAATTTTTATTATTGCTGCTTCTGTGGTTATCATTATTATTGGTGTGGTCAGCAGCAGCTGTAGCAGCTGTAGCAGCAGCTGTAGCAGCAGTTGAAACCAAACTGATGAGTTTGGTCTTCTTCTTAGGCGGTTTATAGATAACACCATCTTTGAGGAATCTGTGGTCGAAACCTCCAACCAATTCAAATGAAGAGTAGGACGATGAAGTAGAAGCAGCTGCTGCTGCTGCTGCTGCTGTCGGCTGATGGTGGCGCTTCAAATTTACTTGCTGATGTTGTTTGTTGATATCAGAATCTGCATAAGAACAGTTGAGCGAATCGCCGTTCATATCGCCACCGTTGTTTTTGTTGCTGTTGATGAAGTTCTGCTGCTGCTGCTGTAGCTGCTGCTGCTGCTGCAATCGTTGCTGCTCCTCCTTGGCGTGAATCCGCATGTGCCTGTGCATGTTGCCGTTGGTGGTGAAGGCGTGGAAGCATATGCGGCACTGAAAGGGACGTTCGCCTGTCGTTGGATGGCGTGGAAATTTCAACTAACAACGTCAACCACCTTCCATCAGTATTAACATTCAAACAACGACAACAACAACAACGACAACAACTTAGCACACATTGGTCTAATAAAGATACAACCCACAACACAACACAAACAAACAAACGGATACTACAAACAACCACGGCCCTTACTAACCAGAATGAACGAGCATATGCCTGTCCAACGAGCTCATACTGCTCAATATTTTCCCGCAAATTTTGCAGCAATTAACCAGACTACCAGCACCACTAGCACCGCTACTGTTGTTGCTACCAGAGCCACCAGCACCGCAGATATTTTTACTGCTGCTACCACCAGTGTCCCCGCTGTCGCTAAAACTACTGTTGCTATTGTTGTTGATGCTGTTTGGTGGACTAGAGTGTTGCTGATGTTGTTGTGGCTGTGGGGGTGTGTTGTGGGATCGAATGTGTTTGGTGAACTCGCGATCTGTCGCCATAGAGTCGCCGCAAATCGGACATCTGAAGTTCGTGCGGCCGCTGTCGTCTGGCATTGGAAATATCTGCCGACAGGTTTTTGAGGACTATATTTAATTAAAAATTATGAATAAATTTTAATAATTAATAATAATTAATACCTCTAATTTTTTTTTAATCGTAATAATAATAATAATAACCCTATCTGTCAATAATCAATTGATTGATTGATTGATATTTAATTAAAAATTATGAATAAATTGTAATAAATCACGATAATTATTACTCTAATTTTGTTTTAATCGTAATAATAATAACCCTATCTGTCCTTCTTCTAGATTTTGGCAGAGAATTTTTGGGATGTTGTAGAGGAGTGGAAAAGCTGGCATTCAACTGCTGCTGGCCGTCGCCCGATACATTTCCAGGCGATGATAAACCCGATGACGGAAGAGACGTGAATAGATCACGTGATTCGCGTTTCATACTGTTGTTGTTGTTGTTGCTGCTGCTGCTACTGTTGTTGTTGTTGGTGGTGCTGCTGCTGTTGTTGTTGTTCCTATTGCTACTGTTGTTCATGCTGTTGTTGAATGCACTTACTGCACTGTTCATGAGGTAGCTATTGGCTACGCTGTTTGGATCGTAAAAGTTGTGGACTCCATCGCTGGTGTTGTGGCTGCTGGTCCTCTCGCTGACATTGCCATTGTCAGCGCTGCTGTTGAGGGCTGGTCTCGCCGAAGAGTTGACGGACAAGTTTAGTAAACTGTTGTCATCATCGTCCTCATCATCGCCGTCATCAAAGTTGCTGTTGTTGTTGCTGTTGTTGTTGTTGCTGTTGTTGTTGTTGCTGTTGTTATTGTTGCTGTTGTTGCTGCTGTTGTTGTTGTTGTTGGCGTTAATTACGCTGATGTAAGAAGAGGAAGAGGCATTTCCCCGAAAGGAACTAGACGGTATGAGTGTCATGTTTCTGTCACCGCAACTTTCTACGTTATTGTTGCGGTCACTCAATTCGGACGAACGTGAAGACGTCATTGCTGTTGGTGGTTGTAATTGCTGCTGCAAAAGAAGCGGCGACAACAACGATGACGGCTGTGGCTGTGGCGGTGATGGAGATGATGACGTAGATTCATTTATTACAAGTCTGCCATTGCAATCGTCAAAATCATCTGTGTCGACGTCCATCGCGTCGTAAAAACTTTGCTGCTGTTGCTGCTGCTGCAGCTGCTGCTGCTGGTTTTCGTCGTCAATTGCTGCCGACAGACTGACAGTACCATCATCTGTATCAGACGTTTTAGGATGTTGTTGAAGTTGCTCTGGTGGAAAATCGCTAGACATGTTGATGTCTTCTTCACAGTAAGCCAGATCGACTGAATGTTGAGACAAGGACGTTGTTGTGGGGTTAAATTTTATAGGATAAGAATTGGATGAAATAATGATGATGGTGAAGATGACGGTGAAGAAGATGATGAAGAAGATGGTGAAGAAGATGGTGAAGAAGATGGTGAAGAAGATGATGAAGAAGATGATGAAGAAGACGATGATGAAGAAGAAGATGATAATGTGCCAGGAATATTGTGTTCAAAATTTTAACGAAAATTATAGAAAAAGAAATGAAAATGACGTTATGAGAGTCCAGTATAAAACTTTTAACTTTTTATTAATTTCATCATCGTCTTCGTCATCATCATCGTCTTCGTCATCATCGTCCTTATCTATCATTGACATCATCTTCATCATCTTCATACTGATGGCAGAAAAACATCACCGCAAACTCTCAGTTGCCTGGCGACAGCCGACAACAACATCATCGTCTTGTCGATAGCGGCTGCAACAACAACAACAATAAAAACAACAATAAAAACAACAATAACATTAATAATAATAATAATAATAATAATAATAATAATAATAGCATTAACGTCTTCTTCATCTTCACCATCGTCATCACTTTCACCACCATCATTCTTATAATAATAGCATCATCAACATTAACAAACGAATAAAATCGAAAGCCAATAACAATAGTAACATCAATTAAGACAACAAGAGCAACAACAACAACAACAACATCAGCAACAACAACAACAAAATTAATTGCCAGGCAATACTTCCTACTCAAGAGCGGAGAGCCTTCCTTTACTTGTTCACCATCATTCTCACCACAACGATGAAGAAGAAGATGATGGAAATGATGATGAAGATGATGATGAGGATGAAGATGACAAGGATGATGATTATAATGATATCATCAGGTCATATCACTATCTATCTGAATATAGTTATCCTCGTCAACATTGGTATTAGTCATACTAGAGCAAAGCTATTCAAAATAATGTGAGAAAAACAATAAAATAAAGAGAGAGAGAGAGAGGAAAAAAAAGAAGAAAAAGAGAGCGAGGAAGAGAAAGAGAGACAAAAAGAGAAAGAGAGAGAGAAACATTAAAACACAAATAAAAAAAGAACGTAAAACCAAAAAATAAACAAAATCGGAAGTGGGGATAGGAAGGAAAAATGAAAAAAAAAAATCCACGTACGTAATGAATGTACGGATGGAGCAAATAGAAACAAAAGATGCAATTTTATGTACATACACAGGCTAGCATGTCTGTTTCGGCACACACATACACACACACACACATACACACACACACATACATACATACATACACACACATAATTACTTACACACGTACAAGCGAACATACACACGTACAAATAAACATACATACATTTGTGCACTCATCTAACTATACGATAAATAATAGATGTGTATGTGCAGCATCCATAAACGTGTTGCGACCTGTACAAACACACACACACACACAGACAGACATAGATACAAACACACACACACACACACATACACACATATACATACAAAAATATTAATGTATGACGCAGGTAGCCACAAACTTATAAGAAAATATTTTTTTTTATAAATGATAAATGAAAAACGGGATGAGAACCAAAGAGATAAAAATAAGAAAAAAAGAGTAAGAAGAAGAGAAATAGGAGAGAGAGAGAGAGAGCAAGAGAGAGAGAAAGAGAGAGAGAGAGAGACAGGTGAAATCAATGGAGCATAACAAAGGTAGCAGAGCGGAGGTATTCTGTTCTGTGTGATGCACATGAGAACCATGCATGGAGCTATTCCATCATTGGATGATGATGCACAAGCGTGTGAGCTTGCGTGTGCGTGTACTCGTGTATACGTGTGTGTGTACGTGTGTGTGTGTGTATGCGTGTTTCGTGCAGCGTGTGCGTGAGTGATATGTATGTGTGTATGTATAATGATGTATAAGTATAATAAACTTAATGTGTGTATGTTTACTTGTATGTATCTATACTTATGTATATTTGTGTGTGGCTGTGTGTGTGTATGAGATGCAGCGGTATTTGCTTAATAGAGTTTGTATATGTATGCAAAAAGAATACACGCACACACGCACACAGCAGGCACACACGCACACAGCAGGCACACACGCACACAGCAGGCACGCACGCACGCACATGCGGAGAAAGAACATGGCATCTATTGCAAGCATGCAACAAAAAGAAAAAGTTGGCGGGGAAACAATTGAGAATGATGAAGATGATGAAGAGGAAGAAGGATGATGATGATGATGATGGATGATGATGGGG